GTCTATTAATTATTTGAGACTAATAACAGATGTTATTTTGTTACTCGGGATCTTGTTTTCTTATGGTAGCGTAATCACGATATACGAGTGTCATTAGTCGGCTGCACCCTCGTCTAACGTGGGTCGAATTGTCTCAATGAGAAAGTAGACGACCGGTTCCCGCGCAACTCCCACCATGTTGTCTACTTTCAAATCACAATAGCTTATCTTTGTACTAAACTTGCTTCTGTATGCTCGTCTGTAATAAAGCGAGCTAAATTGATTCAAATGCCACATTGGTTGTGAGCCCCAAACACTATTTCGAAGAATTATTATTAACAATGTCATAAGCTCCATATAAATGTTGCTTGCTGTCGTAGTCCTTTTTCAACTGAATTAAATTTTATATTGCAATTTGTTAGTGTAAATATATTTTGAAGACTTAAAATAGTTTTGCTTTTTTAATTTTAAAGGGTTTACCCCACTGCAGCTGAAATATGAACTCTGATGTTTCATTTTATTATTTGTATCTATCTGTATGCGTTTTATTAGCAAATAATGTTTGATAAATAGAAAATTTTATGAACTGTTAAAAAAATAAATACAGAAAAAAAATTAGTGTTTTTGATTTTTGTATTGCGATTGTTTTCTTAAGCTTAGTAATATGGAAACGCGAAATGATGGACTGGTCGGCCTTGTGGTGCCGATGCCTCGTGTTTGTCCCACACAAATATTAAACCAACAAGTAATAAAAGAAGCGTCTGCATGGTGGTGAGCTGCAATGCTTTTAACGCTTAAGTAACAATCAGAGTAAACCAATCTGTCTATTGACTATCGCAAACCGCGCCCTCTTTATTTACTTAGCCAGGCACGCCAACGAGACGATTGAATTACGTTTTATTTACAATGTGCATAAATTTATATGGTTATTTTATGTTCTCATCATGAAATACATTTTTAATTATTTTGTTAGGTACAAAAAATCATAAACAAAACGTTTCTTTATGTACATAGTCGTATAGTATAACATTATTGATATATTTTAAAATATGTAAGATTAACATTAAAACAAAAACACCGTGTAATGGTGGTGAGTGTAGAGGGAAACTGAAACAGGAGATGGGCAGCAGCTTTTTTCTGATAATAATTTAAAAAAAAAACTACGGTTACAACTCCGCTGCCAAGTGACAACTGGTGACAACTATGGCAGCAGTGGACTTTTAAAAGACTGGAATAATTGCTAAATAAATAAATACAAGTACACATATTCTTTATAACATTAAAAATAGTAACAACTATATCAACATTATCTCTCAGGACTGTGCCATCCTGAATAAACAGAGAATGTGTGCGGTGTGCGCCGGCGTCGAGTCGGGCTGGAGGCTGTAATTTGGTCGTGTTCGGTTGTTTGCACACGCGAACCCGGCCGCAGTTTTGATATAAACAACGTTGCTATTTTTATACCAGAGCCAAGGCCAAGTTCGCCATGTTGCATTCCCTATCTAACGATTCAAAAACAGTCTTGTTTCGTAAACAAGGTCTTTTATATCGTTGGATTTAAAAATAAATGATGTTAATGTTCAATATCTTCATAAATTTATAATTATATTCATTACTTTGTGAGACTTATAAATTTTTTAAATATACATATTAAAAACAAAATATTATGTATTATGGATATATTATGTTTTTGTGATTGAACAATGGAGCAAATTTAGTTACATAATAATCACAGATAGATTGCATTTTTGAATGTCTGAATTAGATATTTGTCTTCCTATATCGAAGTTTCAAATATCAACAAAACAAGTAGGTAGGTACTTAAGAATATTTAAAGTGATTACCAACTTACGTACTTATGTAACTGGGCCACCGTCTGCTGTCGGCAGCCGTTTTTTGTCGACTGCATTAAAATAACTAAGGCATTGTGAGCCCCAAGGTTACCCATATTAAGCCGAGCGCACTTCCGTTGCCTTGTTCTCATGATTAACCCCTACATATTTATTTATAAAACAAGTTTGCTGTAAACAGTTACGTACACATGACATACGTAATTTTAATGTATTAAAATTTTTAATTGTACTTTTGAAAAATGTATAAAAGAAGGAAAATGGCATTGTATTTTTCACATTAAGAATAAAGGAAAATATAGGTACTCGCAAGTAACAAGATATTCGCCTATTCCCATTAATTTGAAACCTTTTTTTATGCAACTCATTAGCTTTTTACCAAACATGATATACCTACCTCTCTACCTTGGTATTGCACATTAGGATTACAATTTGACTAAAAATATTTTATTTTTTATTGTTTGAGGTTATAAAATATTCACATAAACAACACGTAATCGCAGTTTTTTATCGTCAGTTTTTTTATCGCTACGTGAATGTAAACATAATGCTATGTTGACACGTCTGGGTGAGATACGAGACCCGATATCTAATTTGGTTGGCCTTGACAATGAACAAACAAGTTTTTTCGCGTAACCTTGAGAGCTAGAGTTGTTTTTGCACGGCGCCACTATTGTTGCTGCAAACTCATAATAAAGAGAGCTGCAAAGGAAAAAATATGTTTTGTCTTGAAATTTTTATCTCTTCTTTACAATCAAACCTTTTTTGTTATTTGTTAAAACAACAGTAGAGTTTTATGAAGGTATTTGAAAAATATGATATTTTGAAACGATATTAACTACAATCAGTACAAAATTAGTGTGAAAATTAGGTATTATGTTATATTAAGCTTAGAATGTAGTTTCTTGCTAAATAAATCACTTAAAAAGATTGTACTTTTCCAACGTGCTAGAGCCATGCGGCAAACTAGATAATATTATGGTTGTATAATGGGTCGGCTCTACCGGGAAAGAACCACGCTTTCACAGAATATCACTGTAAAATAGCAGGTCAATTCTGCTGTGTTTCGTATAGTGAGTGTAGGAAATCGGAGACCCTTTTTACTGGATATGGTAGGTAAAAGTGGACCACAGTAGTAGATATTTGAAATTATCCCAAATAGAATGGGATATATGGGCAACAACGTTTTTTCTTACTGATCGACTCTTAAAAATGTTGCGTGCGCAGTGAAATCAGTTAAAACTTAAAATATGTATTATTTACCACGCATTTTGAATTTAAAAGATAAAAAGAATAGAATATTTGAGATACTTTTTAATTAAGTTTTCTATACCATTTGCCTATATTAGACACTTATTCTGAACATTCTCCTGAAATTTAGCCGGTTATTGCAAATTTGGTTTGGCCTGTATTGTATTGCCTGTACAATATATTATGATATACATGTTTAATCTTATTTTAATATTAATAAGACTTGTAATTAAGACTTATTTCAAAAATATTCTTCAGTTTATTATAAAATCAGAATGTTTCCATGATCGCTGTTTAACTATTTCAAAATTAACGGAGTTTATTCGTAACCGAACAGAGAATGCGAGATACGATAATATAAACTCAGATTCAGGCTTACATGTCGGACTAAAGTAATATTAATTGTCTTCGTTCTTCGTTATTTTATGCTGCGAGGAAAACGTTGTTAACCCAGTCTTAATCTGTAAATCTGTGTAAATGTAATTATAAAATGTTTCGATTCTGTCAGCACGAAGAGTCGCTTGAGTTGTTTACAAAGTGAACTACTGCAAATTGGATTATGATTCGTATAATAAGATGGGCTTTATAACACGCTTCGTTCGTTCGTGTACAGTGTACCCGATTTGAATATAGCGCGTGTTTTATTTACGCGAGAGTGACGTGATAATTTAGATTTTTCCACGTAAAAATTATATTAAAAAAAAAGTATAATATATCATCCGCATCTGACTCACATAATGGCAACTGACTACCGCCGCCCACGAACAACTGGAATACCAAGGGATTTCAGGTGCGTTGCCGGCCTTATAAAAAAAGAGTAGGTAGGTAGTCTCTTTTCTTGAAGGTCCCTAAGTCGTATCGGTCCGGAAAAATCGCTGGTGGTAGTCGAATCCACAAGGAAATTGATATAATGGTGGTTTTTTCAATCATTGTCGAAGCGGATATTGCTAACTTATATTAATAATATATTTCGATTTGGTAATTTTTAGTAAAATTAAAGGCACCATAAGCTAAATGAAATAAAATAAAATTTGAAGATGATTATCTTGCCATTTTTCAAACACCATAAGATTTTAAAATGGCGTTTCTATTAGTTTAAATCCTCAAAATAAAAAACGAGTAAGGAGTCTAGAGGTGGGCAACAGCTTGTTCCTAATAACGACTAAAAATAAAAAATAAAACTGCGGTTGCCAACTATAATGGCAAATATTCCCCCTATAAGGCAATATATGGGAGGCCTATGTTCAGCAGTGGACTTTAATAGGCTGTAACAGTAACGGTAATTTTCTCATGCCACCATGGAACGTTCTATTTATTTTATTCTTAAATTTAAACAAACTAGTTCATCATCATCATCATTACTCCCCATCACAAGTCCAATGCAGGACAATCCCGGTCATGAGCCTGACCTGCATCCGTCAACTTAACTTTCGCCCTACACTGCGTTTACCGGCACGAGGCTGTCACTCGAGAACCTTTTCCCCATCAGTTGTCGGTTCTTCGAGCTGTATAACTTGCCCGTTGCCTCTTAAGCGTACTGCCCCATGGGCTATGTCGGTTACTCTTGTACTACTGCCGCTATTGTAATTAACTTCAAAGTTAAAAACAATTTGCTTATTCTTTTAATTTTGTGTTCTTGTTATGTAATAACTTTGTAACGATAATAAATGTAGTGCATCGCTTTATTGACCTTGAGACAATATTATCACCTAATTAGGTATTTTAGAAATACCGACCATAAATGATTTTCAAAATATAAATAAACAAACGATGTTTATAAATTGTATTATTCTAATAAACTGGTTTAAATATGATATTTAAAATCTTACTTTACCCACCTATCTAATCTATATTTTGTCCCCTTTTTATTTTATTTGCTTATAAATTATTCTTAAATGTTCTTTATTTTCATTTTTGCAGAGCCGGTGCTGGTGCGAATGGCATATTCTCGAGGCGACTGGATTTTTCCACATTCAACCTTTTGCCGAAGCACAAAGTCAACTCATATCAGATTAAGGTAATTTCATAATACTTAGTTTCGTTTGATTTTTTTTTTACATTAAAAAACTTCTGTCACATTTATTTTGTACACAACCATATTAGTCGAATTTAACAGAAACAATAAACTTTCAAAATGGGCATAATTATTTTAATAATTAGTGTATTTCATTTTTCTAGATGAAGTAACTAGAAAAGTACTTAACGTGGTAAGTAAGTAAGGTAAGTAATTAACGTGGTAGAGCCATGCTGCAGCTATATTAGTAGTAAGTATAGTTGTAGTACGAATGGGTCGGCTCGACCGGGGAAGGACTACGCTCTCACAGAATATCAGCGTAAAATAGCAGCTTAACACTGCTGTGTTCCGTATGGTGAGTGTAGAGAACCGCAGACCCTTTTTACTGGAAAAGAGGCATTCCAACTTAGACCTCACGGGTGCATTTTGAGGATTAATGTAGATGTCTATGGGTGACAGCAACCACTTACCATCAGGTGGACTGTGTGCTCGTTTGTCACAATAAAAAAAGTACTTATTAAAATATCAATACTTCAATATTTTATCGGAGGTTGCTTCACCAGTGTATATTATTGTTATGTTGATAAAATTATACGGATATTGATAACCCAAATTTTGTATCTGTTTACTCGCTTTAAATGTACTGTACTCTATACAATAATGAATCTATGCTATGTAAGAAAGAGGAACAGGGAGTTCAATGGATGTACACGCTTAACTGAAAATACTTATTTAAAATAGCTACAAACTTGTAAGACCAAGAATGTAGAGGCAAAAAAATCGAGATTTTTTTTTTATAGGATAAGGGTGACAAACGAGCACACAGTCCACCTGATGGTAAGTGGTTGCTGTGGCCCATAGACATCTACCACTATCCTCGTTTACGAATCAAAATGCAGATGCGTTTTCACCCGTGAGGACTAAGATGGAATGCCTCATTTCCAGTAAACAAGGTCTCCGGTTCTCTACACTCACCATACGAAACACAACAGCGTTAAGCTGCTATTTTACGCTGGTATTCTGTGAGAGCGTGGGCCTTCTCCGATCGAGCCGACCCAATCGCGTTACAATTATACTACTAATATAGCTGCAGAATGGCTCTACCACGTAAAAAATTTAATAAAGGATGAAAATGGAACTTGATAGCGAAAGTTTATGAATGTACGTCATTTAATAAACTATTCGCCATTTTTAAATTTCAAATATAACTCATACCCTTATAGCGTTATCTCATCGAAATCTTTTGGGATTGGATTTAATAATAAAATATTTTTATTGCCGCAAAGGTCGGCAGAGTTGAAAGTTTACCTTTGTTGGTGTCGCCATAAAAACACTGGGCTGACACTTTCCGCGATAAAGCGATGTCACTGGAGGCGCCCGCATGGCTGCGATCGTAGACAGGGAGACAACGCGCCCGAATTTTACAGGATGCGAATTTTAAACCGGCTTACAATGATATACGGGTGGTAATATTTATCTGGCCGTTTGGGGACTGACTAGATCTACTTAACAAACCCAATGTATGAAAAGGTGTTTGTAACGAGTGTATAATTTGTTATAATAGGACAATATTTAATATTGAAAATATTTTCGTTTAACTTTATTTGTAAAAATATGTCATCTCTTAGAAATTACATTTTTTAATTGAAATAAAAAAAAATGGAAACTGTATGATGATACCTGGCTCAAAATCTGCTCGTTATTTAATTTTTAAAATATTTAGTACATAGTAGTCACATTGATTATAGTTCAGTCCAGTACACAGATCAGTAATACAAAATGGAACAAGATTTAATTTTGTTTTTACAAAAAACGTGCGGTCACCATAAAAATACAGGTACGATTTGAAACCGAATAAATGTGAATTCGTTGTAATTTAATCGTACCCGCTAGGCGCTTTGCTGGAACCTGCCTCGTCGCATTCGGCTTCATTTACACAAATAAAACACAGATTCAGGGCCACGTTGCCATGTGATTTTTTAAAAACAGTGTGAAATTTGACACTTCTTTTATAAAAATTTGCATTTGTTTGTTTTCGTACAGTCTCATATCAGGTCATGGTTTTTGGTTATGTTTGTGCTATATAAGGCTAAAAAACGAATAAAACATGAAAGTGTAGGCTTAATATTTTAATACAACTTGATGCAGGCCCTGTTCCTTGCACGCGGCAGCTTCTTTTATTGACACTGATCTGGACTCTCAATCCTAACGGAAGGTGATATTCGAGTTACATAGGGTGTTATACGAGATCCTGGAAAGTGCATTTTTACTGATGGCACTTCCTCCTTCTGAGTATTTATTGAGATTTGATTCCACGACCGTCAGTGGCAAGGAGCTTAAATGTTGAAAGTTGAAACAAAGTAGACGTGATAAAATTTGTGGTCTACACGGATGTATATCTAAAATGCGATTAAGTTAAGTTCATTAATGATGTATCATCTTTCATCATCATTACAGCTCTTCACAAGTCCACTGCTGAACATAGGCCTCCCCCAAAGAATGCCACAAAGCACCGTCCTAAGGCACCTCCATCGACTTCCTGCATGTCTTAGCAGGTTGTCATTCCATCTAGTGGAGGTCGCCCTACAGTTCGCCTACCGATACGAGGCTGCCACTCGAGAACGTTTATTCCCCATCGTTTGTTGGTTATTCGAGCTATATGGCCGGCCTATTGCCACTTCATCTTACTAATCCGTGGGGCTATGTCGGTTACTCTTGTTCTACTGCGGATATCCTCATTTCTAAGTCTATCACGCAGAGAAACCCCGAGCATAGCCCTACTCCATAGCTCGCTGAGCGCCCTTGAGCTTCCTCATACGGCCAGCAGTGAAGGACTACGTCTCAGAGTCATAAGTCATCACTGGCAACATGGATAATGTATATTTTATTAATAATGTAGGAGATTTATCCCTTATCATTAATTGAAAAAATATTATAATGTGGAACAGCCATACTGCAGTTATATTATGGTTGTAGGACGAATGGATCTGCTCGACCAGGGACGAACGACGCTCTCACAGAATACCAGCGTAAAATATCAGCTTATTCTTTTAGTGGATCTAGAGAACCAGAGATCCTTTTTAATGCATTCCATATTAGTCCTAAGAGGACCCAATTCTGAATCGATATGTCTATGGCCACACCATCCACTTACCACCACTTTGTTTGTCTCATATATGTTATAAAAAAAGATGAGTAATTACCATCCATACATTATGTTTATATATTCATCGAACAAAAATGAATGCGTAACTACTATTTTTACTTTAAAATTTACCTATTTTAACCGACTTCTAAAAGGACACGGTTAAAAATAGGTAATTTACGTGGTAGAGCCATGCTGCAGCTATATTAGTTGTATAGTTGTAGTACGAATGGGTCAGCTTGACACAGCTGTGTTTCATATAGTGAGTGTAGAGAACCGGAGACCCATTTTACTGGAAAAGAGGCATTCCATCTTAGCCCTCACGGGTGACGACGCATCTGCATTTTGATTCTTTATTGAGGATAAATGTCTAGATAGATATACATAGATGTCTATGGGTCACAGTAGCCACTTACCATCAAGTGGACTGTGTGCTCGTTTGTCACCCAATCCTAAAAAAAGGTAAATTAAGGAGTTTTATGCGTTTTTTTTATGTTTGTAAACCAATTTTGATAATTCTTTTTTTATTAAATAGGTAAAATTCCACCCCTATAATAAATAACTTCTTTTTTAGCTATTTGAAGTCTGTTTTAATTTTTTGTTAAAAGTTATAATTATATTTACGATCATCGTTTAATTAGCACAATTGTGAAAATAAATACTATTCATATAATGTTGGAATGTGTCGGTGTTCAAGCAAACATTTTTCTTGCCAACCTCCGACCATACGTATCGAACAATGCAACATTTGATTTTATGCCACCGTAAGAGCGCTCACGTCGAATTATTTTGCAATTGTCGCTCGTTATATGTTTGTTATGGAGCGCTGGTATCTAATCTGTGCAGGCCTTGAGCCCGTTGTATGTCAACCTACGGTCATTGCACCGGCCGCCGCGCCTGTCTATTTTTAACTCGCGATTGTTTGTTATTTATTGCTGCTGCCTAACGCTTTGTTGCAGCAAATGGATATTTTTACTGTCCCGCCGATTGAGTAATTGTTTTCAGCTTACAATTCGTAGCGTTTCGGCTACCGTTACTATGCTGGGCATCATTCTGGAAGTTGGCGCGAAAAATCGTGTCACTTGCAGTTTGCGTTCTATGTTTGCAGTATGATGGTTGTTTCTATGTCAGTACAAATTAACATTTTACTTTTGGTTATATAGGGGGACAGTAACCTGTAACAATTGTTAAATCCATCATCATCATCGTTCTCGTCATTACAATTCACCGACATCATCCATCGACTCTCTGAATGCCTAGCTCCTCAGCCTAGAGGGGGCGCTCTACACTGCGAATGGTCAGTAGTCGGTACAAGGCTGACACTAAACCTTTCTTTCCCAATAGTTCTGTTCTTCGAGTGATTATAAGAAAACATGCTCGGGATTTCTTGTTTAATTCACCTATACATTTTTATTTGAGCCATTTTTACATTTTCGAATATACTTTTTAGATCTAAATTTAACAGTTTATTTTATAAACAAAATATATTTTTTACAAGCTTTAAGACCTTCAGCTCAACTTAAATTCGAAATTAATGAAAGCCAGTACAAAAACCTTGAATACACATACTCGTAGTACCATGTACAATATAATCGTCGCGTGACCTTAGGGATCCGCAATTCATATAAATTTAAAACCACTTTCGGCTGTACAAACAATTCATTCCGCTTAATTGATTCGCCACAACAATTTATGTGGCCTGCTAGTCGTTTTTTTTTGTTTTTCAACATAATCTACCAGACTCTGCAAAGGTAATTACAGTACACAAACCGATAAAAATCATTAATTTTGTTTGTTCAGTTATAGAATAGACAGAGCATAGAGAACAGAAGCTATAATTAACTTCTTTACGTAAAAT